GTTTTGATTAGTTTTTGTTGCTGCAGCATGTATCGTGACAAATCCACGATCCCACTGTCTTTCTGTTCAAAAAGCACTTGAACATTGTATCAAGTAAACGCAATCGCAATGTCCAAATTAATAAATAAAATACTTCTCTGCCGGTAGTGAGTGACTTGTCTGGCACTTAGCAATTGTCCACTCACGATACTGCTGTCGTCGTCGACGAACACGAACATGCCGACGAGCAACTGCAAGGCACGACTTAGTTTCATTCTGGCAGCGCCTGACGATGGCGATACCACCTACCGAGATCCTTGGCCCGAAACAGAACACGATGATGATGCATCCCCGTACGACGACAACGCTCAACCCACTCGTGCTTCTTCCCGGCGGCTAGTTCTACCTCCTTTGTCCAAGAAGCTGCGGTTCATTCTAAACGATGTCGTCGCATCCCCAATCGACGAAACGATCAACCCGATGGCAATGTGCTGTTGTTCCCCCGACAAACAAACTACAACGGTCCAGCAGGGTCTTTGCAAACACAAAACCAGCTCGGCACCGCCCGACGACACATGTGCAAAGGAAGACATACACGAACCTGAAACGTCCAAGACATTGGCGTCGTCAATCAAGCGAAGATACAACCGTGAACGCCAGCAACTCCTCCGACGCCATGAGCTCCACCAGCGTCGCTCGTTGCGAGCCCACGTCGATGAGCTCGAGGCGACGAAGCTGCAGCTCCAACAACAGCTCAAGTCGGTTGTGCAGCCAAGCCGTACCCCATCCTCGCAGTTGAAGGGTCGAGTCATGGACTCGATGTTGCACCAACAAGCACTGACGAACCGGTCGGCACAGTACGCGGCCTTCATACATGACGTAGCACAATGGGCTTCGCGGCTACAGCATGAAGCGCAAATCGACATGCAATGGCTGCAGACCCACACTCCTCAAGCCCACGACGACTCGGCGAGTTGTCGACATGTTCAACGTCCAACAAACATGCCCGTCCTCAAGTCGCCCAAGTCGCTGTCACATTCCCCCTCGGCCAAACCAGCCATTCCCGCCATCTATTTCGAGGACTTGAGGCAGTTGCCGCCAGAGTCCCGCAAACGAATGTACAACCGCCTCCGCCAACGCCTCTACCGACAGCGCGAGCTCGAAGAAGTCGACGCGCTTCATGCCCATGCGCGGGACCTGACGGACGTCCTGCGACGCTTGAAAACCAACGAACATGTAGGGTCGCTCCATCGGCTTCGGGGCGGAAATGTGTCAACGACCAGCAGGACTCTGCAAGCCGCGCTGGAACAGAACGAGGCTCTCAAGGCCAAACTGCGACGGCATTGTCACTTGAGTGCCCAACTAGACCAGTGGGTGCACAATGTATCATCCCACGTGCAGAAGGACGTTCAATTGTACTTGTAAAGACGAGAGTGTACTTTTCGTGGTAGTCGTTATTTGGATTAAGTTGACTGCGTTGCTGTATGGGCAAGCGTTTGGTAATA